GGCCTTCTGTCATGCCCATCTCAGCGAGGTGGTTCGTACATCCACGAATCTCTCGTGCCTCAATGATGCCCTGGTCACCCGACTGGCGGCCATGTTCACCAATCTGGAGCTGGAGATGGTGAGGGATAAGAAGGAAAGAGTGACGCCTCGTCTGTGGACCAAGTTGATACAGTCCCTCAGCGAACCAGATCCGGAAGCTCTGAGGGGTCACTTCTACAGCATGTCCGGATTGTTTCGATGCTCGCGATGCTTCAATTGCGTGACCAACACCATGAAATCCTATGTGAGCTGTGTGCCCAGCAATATTCGTCTGAATCGCTGGGGCCAACTGATGAGCCACCATGTGCGCGATACCAACTGGGATCTAAGCGTGTACATCGTTCAGCTGTTCAAGGAGCTCAAGTCCTGGAGAAAGGTCTACTGGAAGTTGTGGGGTCACTGCCACTATCTCTACTGCTGCACTTGCGAGGCTCACTTTCCGGTCTACCAGATGCACTGGTGCCGCTTTCATCCGGAGACACCCAACTTCCTGGGTCCCGTGGGTAATGCCGGACCCGCCGGGCGCTTCTCCTGCTGCGGACAGCAGGCTTTTCGCTATGAGACCCTGCCGGGACCAAATGTTTGTATAAAATTAATTACAATTTATATTTAAGATCTACGTTTAAGGTCTGATTCTTTAATGTCATGCTAAAATTGATTTTCTGATTAACCATATCAGAGGTTATAAGTTTCGGTTATATTTAAAAGATTTCTTCTGATTTTAAGGATTGATATTTCTTATCTCTATTTCTCTATTGGTAAAATCAGCAAAACAGTAAATAACATAAGTTTATATCACAGATAAAAAACTAAATCCTTAACATGACATTGAGAAATCGCACCTAATAGTTATTTTTCAACTTTTTTTTAGGGCTGTCAGTTCCGTGAGCACAGTGTCCTGGTGGAGACGGATCGTGAGCGCGCCATCCTGGCCATAGCTCAATTGGTGGGCGAGAACTATGCTTTGTGTGAGCAGCCACCTTTGAGGATCCAGGAACTGGCAGCCGCCGGCGAGATCAGTCCCAGTTGGCAGGGAATCTCCCTGACTCCGCAGAGATGTCGTCAAGGTCTCCTACCGCAGCTCTGCATGGACAGTGTGCTAAAGAGAGGTGGGTAGTAAGCTTCCAGATGATGTCTTAAGATGCAATCTCTCTTTCCCAGTGACCAACCACCGGGTGAGCCGTCGGATGCGCGGATCGCGCTACCAAATGGACACCAGCACCGATTCCGAGACGACTTCCACCAGCGAGGATGATGCCCGATGTCTGCGTCCACGCATGCGCAATGTTCGCGATGATGATGAAGATTACAGCTCCAGTAGCGATGGTTGCGAGTCGGAGCATCGTCCTCCACCCAGGAAAACACGTGGGAAAAAATCAAGAAAGCGGTAAGATTAACAGGATGAAGACATCAATATACTCGTACAATACTTACCTGAACTATCTGAGCAGTCCCACCGATGTATCGGGTCGTTTTTGGTCTGGAGAGCTGTCGGCCCGCAGCAACCAGGATCACCAGCGAGATTTTGAGGAGAAGATCATGAAGCAGGTTGCCAACTATGTGACCAAAAAGACCGGAACGGATCAGTGCCTGGTGCAGAATGCCCAACCGCTTGGTGGCTCCTATGTGCGCCTGGAGTCCGAGTGGAAGGAGATGCTCAAGCAGCGGCACAGCCATCACAACATCCAGGGACCGAATGCCACTGGTCTCTCCTTGCCCCAAAGCAGCAACACATGTCTGGGATCCGCAATTACAACCGGTGGATCCTCAGTTTCCGTCATGTCCAAGCAAAAGCACAAGTAGAAATCCATTTTTGAGTAGATGTTAATTGCATTCGCCAGCAACGATCGTAGACCAAATATTTAGTCACAGATAACTAGTCAAATATTTAGCGCAAATCATAAATATTCATATGCAAATGTAGAACAAATTAAATTATTGAAAATGTTAAAAATATATAAACCATTGTATTGCATTCTAACAATGTGTTCCTGGTTTTATATGTTAGATTAGCACAAATTTCATTGATAATTTACAATGCATTGGGATTTATTTAGATTTGGCATTTGAGCCTTAAATAAATTAAACGTGAATTATATTAATTTACATTTCTCAAGCTAGGGTAAATTACATTTTCCTTTTTTCAGTCTAGGCATGTCTTACAATGAACCGATTTTAAGTGTTCAGTCTCTCCACAAACGAAATCATAAAATCTCATTAAGCATTTCTTAATATTTGTTTATTTATTTATTAACTTAACGCAATTTACAAAGACTTCGATTTGTTATACACTTCTCTTTTTCACATTTAATTTTTGTAATTAATTTTTTTTTGTAATATAAATTATGGTTGAAATGGAAAAAACAGTATTGTTTAAGAAGGGGCCAGCAAATAAATGCGACTGCACGTAAGGAAATGAAACAGAACCCTGGGTTCGATTGCATAACACATGCTTGATAGGGCGCGGGCATGGCCTTAGGCTCAACCTTTCGGTGACCCACCCAGCGGCAAAATGTGCACAATAAACAGAGATATAGCGGAAAAACAAACAATTGGTATAGTTACAAGACAATGCCATTTTGTGGACATAAATTTACGAAAATGATTTTGTGTGGGGTGTGGGTACTAGAATTTAGAGTGATTGCCGATCTGAAGGTTTGATGCTGAAGTTGCCGGTGTTCCTGGTGTTGCCGCCGCCGTAAATGGTACTGATGATCGTGTGGCTGGGGCAAGCTAACTGAACAGGCCCTCCGTGGCCTTCTCCAGGTTCCAGTTCTCCTTGGAGAGCACGGCGCGCGCCTCATGCTCGTCGATGCCCATGTCCTTAAGACGTTGGATCTTTGAATCACAATCGGGAAAGGTGTGCGGACCGCCCGCATATGCGTTCGTCCAGTGCTTGGCCGTCAGCAGGAACAGGTCGTACTTGTCCTTGAACTGATAGGCCACCACAGCGTCCTGCGGATCATCTGGCTCGGCAGCGGCCAGGAGCGCCTGCAGGGACAGCAGTACAGTGCGCAGTGTCATCGCCGCGGCCCAGTTGTCCTTCAAGATGTCCAGGCAAATGGCACCCGTCACCGACGAAATATTCGGGTGCCATATGCGAGTTATGAAGCGAACCTGAGGAGTTAAAAGGATTGTGAGCGGCGTGTTTATCAAAAAAACTTATAAACTAATGGTTTTTATTAGTGTTCACGTTTTGTTCTACAAAAAATTGTGATTCACATCTCTTAGTCTGGTTCTAAATCCAGTTGAATTATTCAGTATTTTATAATCTACTCTTTTTTTATGATTCCAGATCTATCTATTAACACAAATTTGTATTGCTGAGTGTTATTAACATAATTATTTCTATTATAATCTAAATTTATATTTTCAGTTTATAGTTTCCTCCTTGTTTTTAAAATGTATAGTGAAAATGTGTTGAATTGGGGCTTACTTAACATTAATAGGCCTCAATGCTTACAGAAAGTTTGATTGTCTCTAGTAATAACTCTTGATGAACTAGCTTTGGATCCTATATATAGGAAACCTTTGATAAAATATTATAAAAGAACATTTTTTTAAAAGAATAATTCGTTTTGCATGATTACTGAGGTTCTAAGAGGTTCAAATATATTTGAAATGAATCCATTCATCAAATGATCGTTCACTTATAATTTAAATTTTGGAATTTAGTATGATTTAAAGAGGAGGTTTGAGCTTTAAGATCTCCAAATGATGAATCCTTCGGACGACAGTATTGCCCACTCACCTTTGGCGGATTGAAGGGATATGTCTCGGGCACCTTGATCTCCAGGACGAACTTGCCGCCCTCGTAGGGCGTGTCGGGCGGACCGGCGATCTCGCCGCGCAGCTCTGTCCAACTGTCGTTGACCAGTTCGATTTTGATGGAACACTGGACGATCTGTCAGGGAGTACAAAACAAAGTATTAAATACAAATCGGTGCGGAACGGGTGTTTACATTTCACAACCCAATATCTAACGAATCAAACAAGAAACCAAGAAGCGCGCCAAAAACTGGAACCAAAGTCCGTGGACATGGACCCCACCCCCTGCAGCCCAGTTAGGGGTGGTGCAGCGGGCGATGCCCAGGGAGCGGGTAAGTGGCCACCATCGTCCTTGGTCCTCGGAACACTCACCTCCTCGCTGCGCATCACCTCCTTGAACTCCCGCTTGATCCGCGACACTGCCATGTTCGCCATGATGATTCTTCTGTTTCTCGGGCTCTCTCTTCTCTCCTCTTCTCTTCGCTACTCTCCTCACTGTTCTCTCCGTTCTACGTTCTCCTTTCTCCGCCTCTCCTCTTCTCCTCGTTGTTCTATTCTCCCACTGTTTTTGTTGTTGGCCCCTGTGCAATTTTGCGGATTTTGATTTTGTGTTGCGTTGCGTAAATTACGACTGGCTGGTGGCCTCCAAGGTCGCTCCTCGCTAGATCGGTTGTGGGGACTGTCGAAGCAACGAGCTCGACCAGCACACAATAAATAACAAAACTCGATATCCTAAATTTCTGAAAAATGACTTTTTACAGCGCTCAGCACGACTATTTTGCCTGTGCTATTTTTTTTTGTTTTTAAGTGTGACCGCCGCGCCGCATGCCAAAAATTCTGAAAGCTCTCCTATCGATTGGCCTATCGATGGAGGTTCTGCAAATTGGCGCGAGAAATCGAAATCGACTTGAGAATAAAGTAAATTTAAATATGTATAGTGAATGTGATATATCCGTCATTTTTTAGGATACTAAAAATTATCAAGAAATGTTATTTTGTTGTGTTTGAATATTTTAGTTCAATCTTTCTTCGAAATTATTGTTATTAAATATCTTTAATAGGTGTTTCTTCATTATTTTCTTTATTTTAATAAACTTTTACTTGGATTACCCCTAATCTATATAAACATGACAAAAATACAACAATATTAACGATTATAAGAACTACGGATACACATTTATAAATTTCCTGCCAACGCGACAATAATTATTGCTATAAGTTTATAAACAAAGGATACAGATAAACTTCGACTCAAGTTTCAGTCTTCTGAGTTTTCAGTCTCATCATTAGATAAGCAATTTTCCCCTCAATCAACCCCATTTAAGTATTATTAAGGCAATTGAGGCAGCAATCGGCAAACTTAAGACAACATTCACAAGACTTTTCGAAGAACATAAAATCGATTAGGAATGTTGCGCCCAGTAGAACTGCCTTTAGGTTAATGTCCAAGTCCATTGGAAAGGTGAGCCCGAACATGTCTGCATCGGTGAACCATTCACGGGCAAGTCCTGACCACTGTTTCGAGATCCTGCCTACCTTTTCACCATCGAGAGATATCACCTGATTAAATATAAAAATAAATATTAAATGTAAAAGATTAAGGGAAAGACCAAACCCACATTAAAGTTGACCTTGCAGCACATGGAGCAAAAACAAGCGGGTCCTTCTATGCGCAAAACGAGATCTCCATTTTGGTTTAGGATACGAAAACGGGGTCTGCAAATGGACCATTCCTCCTGGATTTTACCTATCAAGTTTCCAGGTGGTGCGGATATCTCAATGCTGTGCAGACAGCAGGGACAACATATAGAAGAGCAACCCAAAGGACGATGCATGTGGATCACCTCGTTCTTGAGATAGGTATCAAAAATCTTCATGTGAAAGGGTCTTTCGGGACAGCAGTTACGGGTGCAACAGTTGGTGTCCTCCACTGCATAGAACACCTTCTGTCCCAGGACGTTTTGGATGGAGTAACGATTATTTGTCTCGAATCCAGTGAGGGCCTCGAGAATTTCGACCTTCTGCTTAACCAGAAGCTGATCGACGTTTGCCAGGTACTCCAATCCGCGTGGGCAGTGAGGTATTAAAGTCTTGGGTAATCCATCTAGTGGCATTCCGGTTCCTAATCCAGGTTGAGTAACTATGGGTTGCTGTCCTGGTGAATAGGGATATTGTACAAATTCCGAGGGATATTTATTGGTAGGTTGAAGTTCTTTGAGGGGTTGGACTGGATAACATTTGACTGTTTGTGGAGGGGGTGCACTGAGCCCATCTCCCACTTGGTTTGGGCTTTCAGTCTCTCTTGGGGACGATATCTGGGAAACTGGGTCACTGGCCCCAGGAATCTGTACCGTCACAGGGTTGGAATCCATGAAAATTCCAGTTTAAAGAACTGGGTTCTGAAATTAAGTCGCATAACAAAAATCACAAATAAATAAATGGCAAAAATTCAGCAAAGGTAAAACCAGATAACTAGATCAGGTTTTCAACATATAAACATATAATATTATAAGATCTATTTACATCATCATTCGATATAGATTTCGGATCAAAATCCGCCACCCAGTAACCCCTATACCATCGCATCAATCAGCCGCAGCTTTTCATTGGCACAGAACTAAGGTTATTTTCCACTGCGTCTCTGATCTTGAACACAGAATTCATAAAAATCGAAGTTCTTGTGACCTCAGTGGTATGGTTCTATTACGCTCACCTACCTTGTCTGCGGTCGGAAATTCGAAACTAGTTTTGCCTCTTATAAACAAAAATAAGAAGTTTATTTTCTAAGGCGTAGGCCTCCCCTGGCAACAGACCGAAAATAATAGACAAGCATTAATTATGCGCCATACGATCTTGTGTATATAAGGGGTACCCAGGGTAAAAAAGGGTATATGAGGTTTAATAGATTGGTTATGATAGTTTTCTATTGTAATTAACCAATTCCATTAAAACTACATGTATTATCTAATTTTGATATCATCATTTAAATTTGTTAACCAAAAATTGTAAACCTACTATCCCAAACGTTGGTACTTGGAATTGAAAAGTAGTAGACTTCTAAAGACCTTCTTATAGGGTATGCTCTCCGTTTGGAAACCTATAACTTATCATTCCCTTTTACTGCCGAAATTCACGTTTCGCACAAATGGCGATCGAGAAAAATAAAACGTGTCAGCAGAAGCAAAAAGCGTGTGGGGAAGTTCTGAAACCAACACAGCCACAATTTTTGGATAACAAAAATAACCCATCGAACATTTGGAGATTGTATTCAAACAGAAGAGTCTCTCAATTCTTGTACTCTTTGTCTTTTGCCTGTTGGCCACACGTGCTCGTGCTCCCCTTTTTGCGCCGCTCTTTCGTTTTGCCCCCAAAACAAAACGAGTGACCGATGCAAACAAAAAATGCCGGTTCTCTCTTTCTCTCTATATGCAATGCTCTTCCACTCGCTTGCTCTCCTTGATATACTCTTTCAAAGGATACCGTAATTTTGACAAGAAGTATGCAACAGTGGGGTGTATTCTACCATATCCTATCAAAAAACATAATATCTTAAATGAAGGAAATTTCTTATAAACTAAATTGATAAAAATCAGTATAATAAATAAACTTAACTATCTACATTTTTGTTGTTTCTAAAGTATATTAGCTAAAGATTTTGATCAGAACTCTTAAAATTCTATTGAAATATGTGCCCTATATAAACCAAAAAAATTGTTTCTTGTAAAATAAATATTTTCTTATATAGTACGTACATTTATAACGTATTTATAACATAAAATAAATATTTTTTATATCTTGTTTGCATCTTTTAGTAATTGTTTAAGGGTGTATTACCATCGACTTGTGGAAGCTACCCCTACTACTCGTTATCTCTTTCTCTCGCACTCTGCAACTCCAAAAACTGAACTTCCCTCGCTCAAATTCAAATCGAAAGCATTCTGTGATTCATTCAGCTTTTGCATTTTCTGAGTGGCGGCTGCATGCAAGCGGAATCAAAAACTACAACCGTCACTACTTTTTTTTTGACCAACGTGTCCCAATCGCATGGCATAGTGATTAATAGTTTATAGTTTCTAACTGATTGCGACACTTTTCTGCTGCACATGTCTCAAGTAAGTCCTGAGTATTGTATTATTCCCGGTTTTCGATTGTATCGTGTGTGCGTGCCCTTGTTTTCGTCTCGACTCAAAACGTGCGTCGCATTCGGCACGTGGTTTCCGCCCCCCCTCAAACCACCCCGCAATCCCCACTTTCATTATTTTTGTACGTACTGCCCACTTGCAACGCCATTTGCGTCAGTTTTTAGGGATAAAACACGGAGAAGAGTACGTCAGCATTTGGCATTAGTTCATTTATATTTAGACAACGGCACGCAAAAACAATTTAACAAATCGCTGTGGATTTTCAGCGACGTTCTTTTGTTCAGCATCCCCAGGTACAGTTGCACAAACAACAAGATACATATACATAGCATCTCAGGGGCAGGAAAAAAAGCAAAGACGAGCCCCCGTGGAATGAAAAGAAAAAACTGTACTCGGGGTCTGGGACCTTGGCAGTCTAGAAAACAAAACATTCCTGGTGATATCATTGAAATAGTTGTTTGCAGAGCAACAATGGTTCCAGAACCAATTGAAATCCGTATAAAGTTTAGATACACAGAGAAAAACCATGCCTATTTTTGGATATACATATTTTATAAACACAAAACTTATATTATATATTTATTGAAAATAGAAGAATAGAGAATAGAATTACTTGTTATTGTCTTAGATCTTGACGAAAAAAAAGATTTGTTTACTATACCCAAGAAAAAAATATTGGCATCGACATTTTTATGAGACCTGTATACAAGTTAATAGTACCATTAAAAATACATTTCCTATGTTTCTTTCATTTCTGGTGTATCTGTTAAATGTTTTGTTAAAATTAATTTACGTACATATTTTTTAATTTTCCCCTTCGAGAAGTACTTAATAAATTTTAAAATATGCCATACCACGAACTAAGATAAGGTGTAATTTGCAATATAATAGTTTAAAACCTTAAGTTTTTTTTATTATGTTTCGACAAATCCAATAGTTGGTTTTTATATTTATTATTGATTTTTGAAAACTGCCAATATAATACATACATTTTTTTTTAATAAACCCTTCAATTTTTTATCTGTGTATCAGTCAATAGGCATTTTTAAGGTCCAAAACTGCAATATGACGTATTTAAATTTCAATGGAAATTAGCCTTCCGAAAACAGCTGATTCATAGAAAAGAGAGCAAAATCGCAGTTGGGGCATCCCGAAAGCTTTTTGGTGGCATCTGCGCATCATCCTTGGCGCTCTTTGGCGCTCTCTCCTTCTCTTTCCATCCAAGTGTGTGTGTGCACCCGGTGCGTATGTGTGATGGACGCATACGCCATGTTGTACGGCGCTCAGTTCCATTCGCTCGCTCAATTTCGCCAGATGCGGCGCTCTGCGGCTGCTAATCTCAATCTCCAATTGTCGCTAAAAAAAACAGTGCACTTTTCAGTTAGCCTGGGCAAAAACAGCTGTGAGTGCGACTTGTTGTTAAAAGGCAGCTAAAAAAAGAAAAAAATCAGTACTCCTTTTCAGTCGCCGCTTACCTGTCGCAGCAGCAATTTGATCTCGGGATTTGCGTAGTGAATAATGCCCGATAAGAAATGCAGCGAAAACGAGCAGAATGGTGCGTAGATTATATCCTAGAACTTGAACTCACATTCCTTTTTTTTCACTGTCCCTGAGTGTGTATGTGTGTGATTTTCATGGCCAACTTGGAAAACCCGTGGAACAGCTGTTTGGCCCATCTCAAAAGCTTTTCTTTTGGCGCGCGCCTGTTGGCATGCCAGCATATTTTCTATGTTCTAACAAAAATTATAGATTGCACTGGGGTGATAATTTGACTTTTATCTATCTAATGAAATAGTGGAAAAGTGTCAGGAAGTATTTATAACACAGAGGTCTATATGATTGATTGGAAAAAGATAAACTACCCTTTTTTATTCGTATTTCATAATATATAATATTGAATATTGCAAAAAATTTGCTGAGATCCTAACTTTAAAATTGTTTTTCTTCTCTACAAAATTAAAAAAATATTTAATATTTATCTTTTTTTATTAAACAAAAAATGTATAATTTTAAATTCTTATTAGTTTTTATTTTAATAATAGATCGCAGAATCCTTAAAACTATTATTAAAAATATTAAATCTTCTATTTTATTTGTATTTTATAATATATAACATTTAATATTGCATAAATATGCCGAGATCCTAACATTAAAATGGTGTTTCTGTGTTACAAAAATTAAAAATATTTAATATTTACCTTTTTTTATTTAACAAAAACGGTATAATTTCACATTCTTTATTATTATTTTTTTTAATAAAAGATCGCAGACACCTTAAGTAACCTGTTCTTAATTAGTAGGTTACCTAAGGTTTCTGCAATCTTTTATTAAAAAAAAAATTTTTTATTGTTATTTTAAGTGAAAAAGAATATCATTTCACTTTAAATTCAAATAAAAAATATTCGTATTCAAATCTTAAACAAAAACTACAATAAAAAGCAAAAATCGTATTTTTTTTAAACTTTATAAATGAATAGCTCATTTAAATTCTGAAAACGTATACCGCTCTAGAAGACCGAAATCGACATCGATAGCTTTTCGGTTCCCTGGAGAAATACCACGTAGAAAATCACATGGTCTGCGATTGAGATTGGGGTGGCTTTCCGCCAAAGAGAGAGAGTGCGGGCGAAAGAGCGCGATGCGCAGCGAGGCGCTCTCTTAGAGAGCGAACGTACGCTCACGCGAGCACACACCGATAAGGCGGCGACGTCGCTGCCCGCGTTTTGGCGAAAAAAATTTATAATAAAAACTTCTACTCGTAGATTGTGTGATGCCAGTCGTTCGCTCTGCTAATCCGATACGCGCTAGAAGTTTGATCCGAGACAATTTGGAGAAACAGGCTGGTTGTCTAAATTTAATCCACTCCAGAATGCCGAACATCAAAGTGTTTTCGGGCACCTCGCATCCGGATTTGGCCCAGCGGATCGTCGATCGCCTGGGAATCGATCTCGGCAAGGTGGTCACGAAGAAGTTTAGCAATTTGGAGACCTGGTGAGTAGAGAGTCCTGTCATCCTGTCATCCTGCGAGAGAATCGTATAGAATCCCCTGGACTAAGCGACCAACAAGTGTTAATCAAAGTGTTTTTTATAAAGTGTGCTAATTAAGTTTTCGAAAACCGTGTTTCTTTCAAACACATGTGCTCAGTGGGTCCTTGACATTCGCTGAAGGTTGCCTGCCCTTTTGGGGCCGCAATCAAACTAAGAAATCAATGACCATTTCGATTAGCTTAAACTGGAGGATTTTTCCCCAATCTTGTGGGCCACCTTTGGCTTGATTTCTTTTTATTTTTATTGATTTAACAAGTGGACTGTACACCGTCTTTGTCGCTATGGCCGTGCGTGTGTGTGTGTGTGTGTGTAGTGCTGGTGTGCTGGTATGAGTGAGAGTAACACACACGCACACATCCACACAAAGCTCGGCCAATGTCGCGTGCAATTTTCACCAAAATTAAATTTAATTTAAAAAATTTAAAAACACCAAAAGGGAGGCGCAAAAAAACTGAAAATTATTTTCATTTTATATTTTTAATTAAATTAGCAGCTGTGTGTATGTTTGTATGTCTAGACTTGCGGCTTGCACGCTTTTTACTTCCCTCTCTCTTACTCGCTGTCTCTTTCTCTCTCGCTCGCTCGCACTCACACACGCGCAAGAGCTGCCAGTCAGCTGCTGATGCAACAACAACAACAAATAATAAATAAAGGCGCCCAT